TCTTCATTGCTCTATTATCAATCCTTATCAATCCAGATTATCCTTTTAGCAAATAAGCGTGTGTAATCTTCTTCATTATTAAGTTGAATAAAAATGTGTCTACCATCTAATAGTCCAATTTTCAACTCCCCAACAAGGTGCATAAGTTCAAATTTCTTACGAATAAGCTCCATTTTGGGATAATCATATAGAAATTTTCCAACCAAATTTAGACGACAGGAGTAAACAAGTTGAATACCTTCAGCTTCTGTAAAAAAGATGACAGATTTCCCATTCTTCATATCAGATTTCTTGATGTCCTCCTCCCACTCAAAGAAATGAGGGAAAGGGCACAATTTAGGACTACCTGAGGCGTGGACACCCGTGAGGGCAGCTGCATACAATCTGTCTGAAGCCATCCTCAAAATAAAGGTGTGGCGTCAAGAAGAAAACACGGAAAAGTGGCGTCAACCAAAGAAGTTAAAAAAGGGAACACCGGGAGCCGCACTGCAGAAGAGCCGCAGAGCCGAAACGGGAAGAGTAGACCAAAAAAGCTGAAAAAGAGAACGTCGGGAGCCGCACTGTAGAGGAGCCGCAGAGAGCCGAGAAGGGAAGGGCCACGAGAGCTGCTTGCAAGACGGGAGCCGCAGAACTCGCGAGAGACCGCAGAGCCGAGAACTCCCAAGCCAGGAAAGCTCGCGAGACGGGAAGGCCGCACCGCAGATCGCGAGACCAAGGGCGAAACACAAAGGCGCAGGCGCCAGAGAAGAGGCAGCGAAGCTGTAACAGTTGCTAGGGTTCGCCATCAAGCGGAACCCTAGCAGAGTCGAGTGAGAAGGAAGACGAAGCCATATTATATTATATATGGATGTCGTCTCCCATGCTTGGCTCTACTCGGGTTTCGACCCATGTCGAACCCTAGCAAACCTTATCGTAAGATCTTTTCTCCGGCATCGTCTCTCCGTCCTCTCCGTCGTTGTCGGCTCGCGACTTCGAGGTCAACTGCGGCTCGCGTCTCGTCGTCTCTATTCGAAACTGATAGATCACATCTCGTCGTCTCTGTTTGAAGCCGACAGATCACATCGCGTCTTCCTCCTCACAGAAGACGAGAAGGAGTTGTGTGCTCGTTTCCTCCTTCGTCTTTCTTCTCTACTCAGCTCGACTGCACCGATTTTTGGTCTCTTCGGTTCCTGCCTGTCTTCGCTTGTCATTCCTGCCCTCTGATCGACTTGGCAGGGCTTCTAAGCTGTGATGGAGCATTCTTCTTCTTCAGTTGAACTTAGCAAAACCTCGTTTGCCCATGTGGTGGGTAATCCTCAAGTGGAGACGACGGTTGTCTTCCCCTCAAGTTATAAAGAATATCGTGATGGTACAGTTGACTACCCATTTATTAAAAATGCAAGCAGGAAAAGTGGGAAAACAACGCTCTTTTTCTCGGAGTTAGAAATTTCAACCCTGACTAACAAATTCAAGTTTGCTCTTATTGGAAAATTTCAGTGGGGGCACCCACCTATGAAAGTTATCAGGAAAAGTTTTGATGATCTCAAATTAGCAGGAAAGTGGAAACAGGAGCTCATGGATGACAGACATGTATTGATTCAATTAACTGTGGCTAAAGATTACACTAAGATTTTCTTTACAAAATATCTCAACATTGTTAGTAAATCAATGAAGCTACTCAAATAATCTCCTGATTTTGATTTTAATCATGAATCTCCTACTGTACCAGTATGGTTTAGTCTACCAGGTTTCAAGCTACACTTTTTTCATTATTAAGTTCTTTACTCTATTGGGGTCATACTTGGGGACCCTATGAAGTTAGATCTACCGACTTTCAACATAACCAGACATTATGTGGCCAAAATACTTGTGGAAAGAGATATTACTTTTCCTGATGTTACTGAAGTCTGGTTGGGCACAACTCATAATGAATATTGACAACAAATCGTCATGGAGCATAGAGCGCCTTACTGTTCTCATTGTAAGATGTTTGGGCATACACTTGATAAATGTCATAAGTTTCATCCTAATTTGAAATCTAAAGATCAAGTGAATAAAAATGGATCTAATCCCACTACTCTGGACATATCTGTTCCATCTGGAGAGAAAGCTACCACAGGACAAGTTTTGGATATCACTAAAGATTAGTCACCTATCATCCCTGCTGAGAAGGTGCAAACCGATCCTTTACCCAACATCGCAGTTCCTGATGAAGAACATCATACTACAGGTACAGATCCAAAAATCCTTATACCACTCACTGCTATTGAAGAAGACTCACTTACATGTCAAGACACATGAGAGTGCTTCTATGATTCAATCAAAGATCAGCTGGTACAACAAACAGTTACTTCTAACGTTCAACATCCTACACATGTCAGACACATTTTAGACCAATCCACTGATCAGGCAAGCCAATCTTCGGATGAAGAATGACAGGTTTATTCCAGGAGAAAGAAGAATGGAGGCCGACTCGAGATTGAAAACTTATTGGATGATACTTTGGTCACTACTGGTAATGACACCCATCTTACCAATTTATTAGCTGACTCCTTTCCTAGAACTAGAGGTAAAGGCAAAGGAAAATTGGGCCGCTCTCTAGCTACCTGATATTATGTTTTTAAGTATTTTTTATTTTTTTCTTTAGGTCTTACGTAATTTTTTGTATTTTCTCCTTTTTTTTTGGAACCTTTTGTATGTGATGGTTATCGTGGGGGGAAGGGTGTCATGCTTGGGCCCTTCCGCACAATCTATATGTATCCTTATTTCTTTTTAATATATTTGTCTTTGAGATATATAGCCCCTCCTCTTGGACGACAACTTCAATTAGGTCAAGGGACTGGTTGACCACTTGCAATCCCAAGCTGAACTGGTTCAACCCTCTCATCGGTTCACTCCCTATGTGCCCCGCGTCACATGTTTATAGGATCTTGCAGTATGGTATTTATTGCTTAAAACAAGTGGCTTGTTTTTCTGAGACATAAAGGAGAGGAACATATTATCCTTGTTTGTTTTGTATATTGGTTCGAGCACAAATGTGCGGAGAGAGGACCTTTGTTTAACTACAATGGTCAATTTCAAGACATCCAACTGTTAATTCTTTTTTGCTCATTGTTCAAATGATAAAATCACTTGGGGGCCGTTTGGGATCTTTTTTGTTTTATGTTTTCTTTTTTTTATTTTGTTTTGTTGATGTTTTAATTTAAATAAAAATGTTAATTAGAGTTTAAAAACATTCAAAACATATTTTAGGTGCTTTGAATATTTTTAAAAATAAATTTATTTATTTTTAAAAACAAAAAAATAAAATTATATAAAAATTAGATCAACTAAACATGTTTTATATATATAAGAAAAAATCAAAACAAAACCAGGAAACAAAAGAAACAAACCCTATATTTTCTATGTAAAAACCTTTCCTCGTCTTTTTCTTATTGCTCTATATTTTCATTTCCCTGTCGACCACCATGGGAAAAAAACATGCAATAAAAAGCTATTGGGAAAAAAACATGCAATAAAAAGCTATTGGTGGTAAGGAGTTGAGATGATGATTTAATAAACTTCTGGGGCACAAATGTGGCTGCTCATTTTCAAAATATAAAATTGATCTTTAACTTGAATTTTGCATATAGATCTAATTCTATATTTTATTTGGATGTAAATGACATTAATTAGATTGCACATGTTTATAGTGGAACACAAAATTATTTGTATAGTTGATGTTCTGCATATTAAATCAATTATCAGGTAATCCTTACTTGGATAAAGCTTTTCGCAAGCATGCAAATGGTTGCTACCTTACTTGGATTGGCGATTTCCCTGGTATAAAGGTAGTATCTTGAGTTTCTCATCTTTAAAGTGTTTGTTTGTTTAATGTTTATTCTCCATAGATTTGATATTATACACTAGTGTGTAAATTCTAGATGGATATGGAAGCAAAAGTTGCAAAGCTTAAATTTCCTACAACAGATGCTGTTGCACATTTAGACCTGAGTGATCTAAGAGCGACAGGCACTCACAACTATACTAATGCTGCAGTGGCGGCATTTTTAGTTCTTGGGTTAGATGTTGGAGCAGATTATCTCTCTATAAATTCTATAGTCAAAAAGTTGACACTTCTTCCACACAGAATACAAGTTGGTGAGTTTACCATTCTATTATTGGTACATTTTCCATTTGGATAAGATGCATTGTATGAGATCTTTCAGAGTTTAAAACAGATTATGAATCTAGTTTGCACAAGTCATTTTTTTTCTGGCATGTATTAAGTATCTATCATGATTAATTATTATGCTTTTGTGATCTCCTCTTCAAAATAATCTCAACGGACTGAACTCTTTTTGCAAATCCTTTGGAAGCATAGTATTTCTGAACAATATTTTTCATCATTTTGTTAAAAAAAACAACAATTAGAAGAATTATCTATCTATTTCTGATCACACTTTTGACAAAACTTTGCCAAAAACATTCAACCGCATGAAGCTGTAAAAAAATTCAGTTTTTCGTAGTGTATATTGATCATTGATTTTATATCTACAATAGAAGAGAAAGTAATCACTTGGCTTTAGAGATGTTGCTTCTCCGCTTCCTGTGATCTCGATCGTGGGATCAAACCAGAGCAAGTTCCTGTGACCTTGGTACAGCCCCGAGCAAATTTCTCTCCGTCCCCTTGGCTATTTTAGCCACGTGGGACCTTTCTTGTTAGTATTTTAATATAATCTTAATTAGTATGAGGTTTATTTTTGTAGGAGAACTATTTATATGTTATTTTTTGGTTTAACAGCATTTTGGATTTGTTTGTGTTTTAGATATTATTTCTCTAATTTCTATACTAAGGAGTATTGTATCATTTTCTTTTTACCCTAAACAACAAGCAAAGAAATTTTTGCTATAGCCTCTTACGGAGCAGGAAATTCTGTGTTGCATGCGTTGGACGCTCCCGCGTCATACTCTTTGGTTGTCCAAGAATCCAAATAGATATAATTAATCTGATGAGAGATGGAAAAAAGAAAACAAAAATCTATACATCAATCAAACTCAAAAACAATGCGAACTATCAACTTCCTTTATCTGAAACATTCATGTTCCATGATTGGAAATGAATTTTGTGAATTTACTTGCTAGGAACTATATATCACAGACACTAGGACACGAACACGACACAATACGGGAACACTACATAATAAAAAAAATGACACGACACGTCATAGACTCATTTTAATAATTAATTAATTATTAATATAAAAAATAAATATTTTTTGCATTATTCTTTATTAATAACTTCTATTACAAAATCTCATACTTATAATAATTATTTTTCAAAATATAATATAATATCTTTAATTTATCTACTAAGACATAATAATATAATATCTTTAATTTATCTACTAAGACATAATATATTAAACAAAATATATTCTTAAATTTATCTATTAAAATTTAAAATATCCTACTTGTTTAATTAGTTAGGTTAAAAACCATTGTCTTCTTCTCGAATACTCTTCTTGTTTCATCCATCTCCAATGCTTGTATCGTATCGAAAAGCTCAAACAGTATGTATGTATATATACGCCCAAGGGCTAATTTTATTGAAATTAAAAAGATATGTAAATGTTGTGTGAGAGGACCCAAAATGTTTGTGGAGAGGACCCAAAAAAAAGGTTTTCTACCCATACGATACATCAGACACTAGCATCTTAAAATGATGAAATAGATAAAACACAAAAAAAAAAACAAAAACAAAACTTGCAGGAAATAAGCTGCTAGGCACGAGCAG